AATGCCCCCTTACAGGCATTACCTCCAGCGGGAAAATCCACATCACTGCAAGCCCACTGAAAAAAATGCCGTTCAGAGAGTTGGGCAAAATCACTGTTTGCAGCACCAACTCAGCTGTGAGAAGGTGATTTTGATGGTGGATTTTTCGTCCAATGATCATTCTGGACTCATCAGGGTCTCATGCAACCCTCCAGACCTGTAGCGGGAAAATCCACCTCACTGCAAGCCCACGGAAAAAAATTCCGTTCAGAGAGTTGGCCACAATCACTGTTTGCAGCACCAACTCAGCTGTGAGAAGGTGATTTTGATGGTGGATTTTTCGTCCAATGATCATTCTGGACTCATCAGGGGCTCATGCAACCCTCCAGGCCCCCAGCGGGGAAATCCACCCCACTGCAAGCCCACGGAAAAAAATTCCATTCAGAGAGTTGGCCACAATCACTGTTTGCAGCACCAACTCAGCTGTGAGAAGGTGATTTTGGTGGTGGATTTTTCGTCCGATGACCATTCTGAGCTGATCAGCGTCTCATGCACCCGTCCAGACCTCCAGCAGGAAAACCCACCTCCCTGCAAGCCCACGGAAAAAAATTCCGTTGCTAGAATTGGCCACCATCACTGTTTGCAGCAACAACTCAGCTGTGAGAAGGTGATTTTGTTGGTGGATACAGTCGGCTCTGAGGTGGTTTTCAAAAATCTTTTGCATCATAACCATGTGATAACCGATCTGAGTTTTGACCAACCTATTTTCGGAGACGGTTCTCGACGCGGTTCGAACTCTGCCTTTTGATGGTCTCAGAACCGGAACTGCCTCAAAACTGCCTTGTAAACCCGGCTCCAGAGGCGGTTTGGTGGCGGTTACAGTTCTCGGTCCTTGATTTTTATTAGCTTTTCAATAAATTTGTGATACGGGAGAACCGGCTCCAAAACCTTTGCAGAACCAGCTGCAGAACTGCCTCTGGAGGTGGTTCTGCAAATATCTCATGATAAATAAATCAGAACCTTTTTTAAAACTGACCCTCAAAACTGCCTCAAAACTGACTACTCTGACTGCCCCTAATATAAGCATGAAGAATGAGTATTAGATTCCCTGTTTCTGGCTGAGAACCAGCATGGAGACAGCCAAAGGCACAACACTGGCAAAGCCAAAACTTCTTGCCTTCAGCCAGCATGCAAGAAAGTGTTGAAGACAAACCCACATGCTGCTCCATGGTCCAAAGAAAGCAGATGCCCACCCACTCATGCCAGCAGTGTTTTCCCTTAGCTCAGACGTTCACTCTCATAGAGTTCTGCCTGAGTGCCCTCAGCAGGGTGCTGCCGCTTTTGCATCCCTAATGGGTCTAGCCAACCCACCGAGGAGGAGTGGCCTTCCTAAGCTTGAACCAACGATTGAGCACTCAGAATATCTTGAGGCACATGGTATTACATTGGTCTGCATGCCTTCAGCTCCTCTCGATCCTTCCGAGACTTTGCGCTAGGCACATTGATGGCAGACATCGGCTCTATTCATGTGCGAGACTAAGAATGGACCCCCTTGGCCATGGAATTGTCCAAAAATTGGTTAGGAAGGTGTGGGAAGACTTAAGGAAAGACTTAAGGATTAATCTCAGTCTTTGGGCTAGAACATTGGTTAGGCATTCTGAACATCATTCAAGATTTGACCTGCATTGGGCCAACTATGATCCAGTACACATTGATACCCGTGCAGTGACCCCCTTGGATCTGCCTCAAAGTGGATCAGAAAGATGTGGAGAGGCCGGGGGACTATGAATCTGCACCTACCTAGTTGAATGAGTGTTGATGCTTCTGACCTCACTGGGTGAGTCAATACTATCTCACGATGAAACTAGGTTTCAAGTTTTTCACCAGATTTTTCAGGTGAAAAACTTGAAATATTTGTGGTGTAAAACTTGAAAACAACTATTTTGCAATTTTCACTGAAAAATTTGAATCAAACTATTTTACATTTTTCACCTTGGTTCCAAGTGAGAAATGTGTGAAGAATATCTTGAATTTTTCACTTGTATTTCCCCTGAAAAAAACGGTGAAAAAACACCTATCTTTTTCAGCACATTTTTCACCAAAAAAACACATCAGAATATCATGAAAAATGTATGAAAACCAGGGAATCTGGGATTCAAGTTTTTCACCAAGTTTTCTTTCACATTTTTCACACATTTTACACATCTTTTTTCACTGAGAATTCTGGTGAAAAAAGTTTTAAGTTTTTCACCTCTGTTTTCAGGTTGGAACATGCGTGAAAACTTGGTGAAAATCCACCACAAAATTTCAAAAAATTTGTTTCAAGTTTTTCACCTTGTTTTCCTCTCCAAATTGTGGTGAAGAATGTTTGAATTTTTCAGCACAATTTTCGGTGAAAAACTGCTGAAAAACTGCTGAAAAACTAACGACATTTTTCACCGAAAATTGTACTGAAAAACTTGAATCTCCCAACCAGTGCCAGGAATTATTTATCCTGATTATAGTCTGCAGGTATGGTCGAGATCCCAGGATAGATTGTGTCTATCATAGATGGAACAGTTTTGGAGCTTCATCACTTCAAGAAGTTCAATGTCAGAAGCATCTATATTTCTTCCGCTTCCAACATACAGGAGCCATTTTGCGAAGTCCTTTTCCTCCTGTCATGCATCAGGCCCACCGAGACACATATTCTGTGTCAGGTGTAGTATTTCAACCTTTGGCCACACTTCAGCAGATTGTTGAATCTGAGCAGGCTGAGGAACATTTTGAGGCTGACAATGTCTCTGTGGGCTGTCAAGGACACAAATTCAATGTTCCTGCCTTTGAGAGGCAATCCAAGCACGCTGAAGAGTAATAGAGTATTTGGAGCAGTCTGATCCCTTTAGACAGTCAATAATCATTGTCAATTTTTTTATATCAGAAAAAGCTTGCATTTCAGAGACAGGTTACAGAGAATGTAAATCAGGAAGGCAGAATCAGCAGATACAGAAGGCAGCAACAGACATGACAGAGGCAGAAAGTCGGCAGGGCAATGGCAAGATCTTGACAGATAGGGGTAGAAAGTTGAAGCTATCAGAACTTGAGAGGACAGCAAAATATATGAGAGCTGGGGCACACCTGAGGCAGTCAGAGCAAAGATGAGGGGCAGAGGGAAGTCGGGTTAGATGAAAGCCTTGAGGCGGTGTGATGCGGACTGCGGTGCTTTAAACTGCCAGATGGTGGGGAGATCCGGGCTATGTTTAATGCTTGTCCTCTAGGGGGAATTTGTTCTGTCGCGGTAGACAAGTACATAGGGGGGTTTAAATAATATTGGTGGGGATATCCGTACAAGGATTCGAACAGTTAGTTCAAAACCCTACTAGCTAGGGTGGTCCGAGTGAACTCCGATGCCTTGTTAGCCTTCTCGGGTTAACGGAGATTGAATCTGTTCCACACGTCCTTGGGGAGGAGCTTCGGAAGGCGATGCGGGGTCCAATTCATCAAGTCCGAGGTAAAATATGGATTTGGGGGCTTCCTGGACCACGAACCACAGTCGTCCGAAGTATCTTTGAGTCGTAGATCGTAAGACCGGGGGATTTATGTGTTCACGATAATGCTCCAGCAATTCCTCCTCCCTTTACCCCTCTTTGTGCCTCTACGGAGTTTCCTCTCTCTACTTCTCACCCGTTCGCTTGCTGAAGGCGACTTCCTGCGGGCTCTGCACCGCCAACTTCCTTAGCTAGCAGCTACACACGAACTCCGAAGACCTCGTTGTGCTGTTTGAGAGATTTCACTGCCCTACTTGAGTAGGTGAGGAATAAACAGTTCGATTTCTCCGGCGCTGAACTTCTTATGCCGAAGTATAAACTCCGTTCGCTGTCTGACGGCGGCGGGGGAGTACCGGGGTCGCTTTACTGTGTAACTCGACTCCGGGTGACCTCTAGGTGATGTTCAGGGCGGATATTTAGCTACTCCTAAGCTGGCTAAGGCTTAGAAGGTGAGGATGTGGGCCGAAACTGAGATAATATTTTGGTAGACTAGCTGTAGTATTTATACCCCAGCCCAAGGCTGTGCCGGAGTTGTTCCTTTGTGTCCCATACCTGCTCGCTCACACGCTCCTCCGCCCCGGAGTTCGCTTATGACTCATTCTAGAACTCCGTGAACCCTTACCCGCACCATCTTCAGTCCGGCACCAATTCCGCAACCCGGACTTGTTGGCCCTAGTCTCGGACACTCCATGTCCGGTCCTAGCTCTCCTCCTATCCAGCTTCCGCCTGCGACGGCTCGATAGTATAGTGGAAACGCTCTCCATATCCTTTCACCCCAGTGTTTGACTTACGGAGAGTCCGGAGTTCGATCCTCCGTCGAGCCCTTTTCCTGTGTTACCCACCTTTTTGATTACCCGGAGTCCTTGTTCCATCCTTTCGGGCCGTTTGGTATTCGCGACTCGATGGCGTAACTGTAACACATCCTGCCATGGTTCTTGCACAAGCGCGTCTTTTGCAGGAAGTCCGGAGTTCAATCCTCTGTCGAGCCATCCCTCTTTTCCATTCCTTTTTCGTGCGCCTCTTACCGGACCTTCGCATCGCTCGCACACATGGTCCGGTGGCATAGTGGTAACGCACTCTGTTCGCATAGCTGGCGGGAAACTGAAATCATGGAGGGACCGGAGTTCGAATCTCTGACGGGCCTTTATGTTCCTTTTGTCCGTCGAGTAAGAAGATAGGGCGCGTTTTTGAACAGTTCAGTGGCGTAATGGTAACGCACTCCGCATTCCTATGTAGTTTGCGGTATGCTTCACGGAAAGTTCGGAGTTCGATTCTCCGCTGAGCCATTATGAAGAAAACCCTTCTTTTTCATGGCGATAGTTTTGGCTGGTCTTTCGATTCCTACGGCTCGGTGGCGTAATGGTATCGCACTCTGATCTAATGGATTTTTATATCGATTGATGGAAAGTCCGGAGTTCGATTCTCCATCGAGCCATTCCGACGGAAACCCTTCTTTTTTACGGTGATCGTCTTGGCTGGTCGTTCGACTCCTACGGCTTGATGGCGTAATGGTAACGCACTCCGTAAATATGCACATTATTGATTGGCGGAAAGTCTGGAGTTCAATTCTCCGTCAAGCCGTTTGACGGAAACCCTTCTTTTTGCAGCGATCGTCTCGGCCATTCGTACGGCTTGTTGGCGTTGTGGTAACGCGCTCCGTAGTGATATGTAACGTTCACGGAAGGTCCGGAGTTCGATTCTTCATCAAGCCCTTTGACGATAACCATTCCTTTTCCCAGTCTTATTGGCATTTTTGGTAGTCCGGTCATGGCTTGGTGGCGTAATGGTAACGCGCTCCGTGTACCTAACATTTTCATATCGGTTGATGGAAGGTTCGGAGTTCAATTCTCCGTCAAGCCATGTTGGGTCAGGATATGATTTTTAACTTGGTCCGTGTTACTGATTTTATATATCGGTTGACAGAAAGTCCGGGAAGCCATGGATTGGGTCCGGATAGCATTTTTAACTCGGAGTTCGGTGTTTTGAGGTTACGTCGGGAGCTATCACAATGTGATGGCTCACATCGGGCTCGAGGAGCACCGTAATGCAGCGGGAGAAGAGGCTGCCGCTGCGCGGCGGAGGGTCACATGAATATATCACCTGACTATATCACCTGATTATATCACATGATTTATCAAAAAAAGCTGTGTCCATTGTCTTTTCATATATAGGACAAGTTTAGACCCGTGCCTTCGGCGCGGCATGTTTGCAGCTTAATCTCAGTTGTAGATTTATTTATTTTTAAAAAGAAAAAGTAGTATAAGTGTGTTCCGGCTATCATATCTACATTAATTACCTGTAATATAAATCAGTTAAATGGATCTCTCTTACAAAGGGAGGAGGACATACATATGGAGCAACACCTCTGGGTATACAGTATTTTTTTGTGAGTCTGTTGTTGTCATCCTTAAAAAGAACCTTGACTCCCTGACTGGAAGTGCATTGAGAAAGTGCAACATATAGCTGTCCATGGGCAAAGACATTGATGCGGAGATCCAGTCCTACATGATCAACTGACTGGCCCTGGGCTTTATTTATGGTCATTGAGAATGCAAGGCGGCCAGGAAACTGTCACCGCTTCACGGCAAAAGCATTTGTTCAACTGAAGGAGTAATGGTGATTCGTGGGATGAAAGCCCTTTTGCCATTGTGTTCACCACCTAGAAGCTGAATCTCCAGCACATGAGGTGACCTTCTCATGAGAATTCCTTTGGTGCCATTACAAAGACCATTTGCTGGATCCAGATTTCAGAGAATCATGATTGGGCACCTTACCTTGAAAGCCAATTTGGCCAAAGGCAGTCCAGATGCACGGAAAGAGTTGAGATATTATCACTGTCAACTTCCTCTTCTGTTATAACTGAATCAGCACTGTGGAAAATAGATTCCCAAGGCAAAGAATTTATGCAGCAACATGTTATTGAGCTCATCCACATCATCATTGCATGCGGAGAGAATTGTATGCTCCAGGAAGTCTTTATTCTGATTATGGTCCAGGTATGGTCGAGATCCCAGGATAGATTGTGTCTATCATAGATGGAACAGTTTTGGAGTTTCATAACTTCAGGAAGTTCAATTTTAGAAGCATTTATATTTCTTCCGCTTCCAATATACAGGAGCCATTTTGCGAAGTCCTTTTCCTCCTGTCATGCATCAGGCCCACCGAGACACATATTCTGTGTCAGGTGTAGTATTTCAACCTTTGGCCACACTTCAGCAGATTGTTGAATCTGAGCAGGCTGAGGAGCATTTTGAGGCTGACAATGTCTCTGTGGGCTGTCAAGAACACAAATTTAATATTCCTGCCTTTGAGAGGCAATCTGAGCACGCTGAAGAGTATTTGGAGGAGTTTGATCCCTTTAGACAGTCAATAGTCAGTGTCAATTTTTTTATATCAGAAAAAACCTTGCATTTCAGAGACAGGTTACAGAGAATGTAAATCAGGAGGGCAGAATCAGCAGATACAGAAGGCAGGGACAGACATGACAGAGGCAGAAAGTCCGCAGAGCGATGGCAAGATCTTGACAGATAGGGGTAGAAAGTTGAACTGGAAACTCAGCTATCAGAACTTGAGAGGACAGCAAAATATATGAGAGATGGGGCACACCTGAGGCAGTCAGAGCAAAGATAAGGGGCAGAGGAAGCTGGGTTAAATGAAAACCTCGAGGCGGGCGGGGAGAGAGGCGGCCGCTGCGCGGCGGAGGGTCACATGAATATATCACATGATTTATCATGTGACTTCTGGGTGTGGCGGTGCTGAGCTCTTTTCTTATATAGGAGATACAAGTTTAGACCCGTGCCTTCGGCGCGCCACATTTGCAGCTAATTCTCAGTTGCGGGGTTTTTTTGAGAAAAGAAATTTATACATATACTTGGCCATCAACTACCTAAACTACCTGTAACAGAAGTCAGTACATGAGCTCAGGTGTCGGCTAATCCCGCTAATCCCTAGCCCGTCGGACCGGCGGAGCGAGAGCACAGCCTCTCGACAATTTTCTCTTCCGCACCTCGACATCGTCGTTCACAGCTCATCGCCGTACCACTCCCTCTCAAGCCTCCTCTCATTTCCCTACCAATTTCACTTACCCACCCTCCTCACCCTTCATTATTTCCTACTGTCATATCCACGCAGAATATAATTATTCTATCGTGCTTATATCGCCTATATCCTTTATTATTTACCATGCTCTAGTCCTACATTACACTCTAACTTTCTAGAGTACCGAATTGACATATTTTGCATTCTACAGAATGGTTCCGTTGGAAGCTCTGTAGCCCAGCAGATGGGTTTTGCATCTCATCTGCTCCGCACACCATCTGATTGACTCACGTCTTTCAGATCCTTACCCAACCTCTTCTATCATCTTCCACCGGTACCATAGCCTCTTCACTCTTATCGAGACGATGCTGGACACTACCTGTAACAGAAGTCAGTACCACAAATCTGTTTCAGAGCGGCAAAAGTTAGACTGATACAAAGAAAATAGAAAGTACCTGCATTCAGAGCCAGGCTGCAGCTGATTTGGAATTAGTAGGGCCAAATCTGAAAAGTCAATTGTGGGTACACACAGAAGATCAGATAAGCACAGTGAAAAGTGGTGGGGGAAGTTGAATGAAATGTAGTTGACAGATAGGGGTATAGCTGTGGAAATCATCAAAGAGGTGACAGGAATTGAGAGCAGAGAGGGAGTGACAAACCTGGAATGGGAGGGAGCAGAGAGTAAGATGAGGGGCAGAGGCAAAGTGTGCGTATCATTAATGAAATCTGGCTTGAGGCCTTGAGGCCTTGTTGAGGAGCGGCAGCAGGGCGGAAACGGCGGAGAGGTCACATGACTTATCATGTGATTTAGTGGCGGTGTTTTCATGTGACTTTTGGGTGTGGCGGTGCCATGCTCTTTTCTTATATAGGATATAGGATAGGGTATTTACCGTATGTTCAAACCACCACGTGACGTACAGTTCAACCTCAAGTCTGTTTCTCGAACACCTCCGATCTTCATATTCGCAGGACTATGAGACTTGATCCTTCGCCGGTAGCGGGCTGGCACCGTCGAATCGAAGGCACTCAAGCGGAGTGCGGGATGGAACACTGCGTCGAGGCAAGATCTTCCAGTCATCTACACAATTTTGTATTTTGTGGAGTGGGGCACATGTCACGCCAACGGCTTCCCGGACCCACAGACTGAGATTGCACTCTGCTCATTTGGTTCCGTGGTTACCCCATGGGACATACATTGTGGAACGTGTGTAGCCCCGCCATAGATTTCCTAATTCAAGTGTGTGCCGCGCCTGCCCGCACCCGGGCTCTTTCAGATGCGAATCATTATGATGAATTAGAGTTGCACTCCATAGTCCTGACCCCACTGGAATTCCCGCGGAGCCCGTTCCCTGCCCGGGGCTACACCGCCGTTTGTGTCTGATATTTTTAAAATATTGCATTGCCTGACCATCCCTGCAATATTTCCATAGTCAATCCCTGGAGCATTTTTTGACAAAGAATCACATGAGGCCCCTGAGGATACCAGCTTGACATTGTGTAGATATTTTGGTGACATTTTCGATTGAATTGGCTTTTAAATGTATTCACTGACCTCCTCCACATATTTCATAGGATATTTCCAAGACATTTAAACCACACATTTTGGGGACAACATTCCCGAATGGTGGTGTAGGTATCCGCCGGTCGCTGTTATGAGGTACGCGACCAAGAGGGCCTGGCCGGTGAAGCTAATCAGAAGTACGCAATGAACTAGTTTCTGCATGCTTATTCCGTCTTTCAGGATGGGCGGTTTCGAACCTAAAACACGTGACATGCAGTTCAACCTTCTCCGAACTGCGAGTCCGGTCGATTTTTCAGGAAGAAGGTGCGATTTGACGGGCATCTGAGGGCAGAAACTACCTTGCTGATTTTAAGTACTTGGGTGCGCCTGTATCCGGTTTGATGTGGCGTTTCTTCGATGTTCGGCGCGCCCACATGGCTGGCGGCGGCAGCCACACCAGGGTTCACCCACCCACATGAGGAGCTTCACGCGCGCAGTTGCCACCCTGTCTGGCGCCACGATCAGCGGTCCTTTCATTGATCACGAGTACACTGTACACGGCCGCCTACAGACTGCCCTGAACAGGTCCACCATGGGTGGTTTTTTTTTGGATGGAAGAGCTTGGAATCCGCATAATTATATCTTCATCGGTGTCTGTGTTTTTTTTTTGTTCTTCGCGTTCATCTGATGGTAGACAGATTAACTACTTACTTACAGCCGTTTGCATAATTCCGTGAAAACACGATTTTTATTTTTATTTGCCCTCACGTGCTTGATGCCGAGCTATGCCGACGTAAAACCTCGGTTTTTCTCATCCAGAGCATGTCTCGGACGCTCACATTGAGAACGAACATTTTCCTGTTCCCTCCTCACCAATTCACAAGTTTGGGGTCTCGTTTTAATCCCCATGTTCACCCGGACGGCGATGGGCTATTTTATGCACGACAAGTTCTCTCTATCATATCCATAACCCTCCAAGAAGACCACCAGCCGACCCCAGGTGGCACGATCTCCCCACCAGTATAGCGAACCATCCGTATAT